GAGAAATATCAATCAACTCAGGAAGCACGTAAATCCAATGCATATTCAGAGGTACCGACTTCTAGCAGGAATAAAAAATCTAAACATGATCATCTTGAAGGCATGACTGATATGTTGAGAGGTGGGATGAATAATTTGGCTAATGCAATTAATCGCCTTTCAACTATGCCACCTATTTCTGAGAGTGAGATATGGCAAATGGTACAAGTGTTGGATTTAGAGCCTAGTATGCACATGAAAGCTTATAAATTTCTTTGCAAACATGCAGACTTGTGCCGCACACTGATTGGGTGTCCATTGGAAGACCGCAAATTTCTTTTACTGACCTTGATGTCGCCACCTGACAATTGAGTTAGACTAAATATTTTTTGTGCTTTAGCTATTGAGGATTTTATAGACTTTGACTAGATCGATATGGATTTTATATGTCATGTTGCTATAAATTTTTATTATATTATGCACTTTAAGTTATGGATTATTTACCACATTAAAGGTTAGAAAATCAAGGTCCGTTGTCTACTCTGTTTTGATGGGGCAATCAAGAGAGATTGACTGTGGATAACCGAGTTAGAAATGGAGTTCGCATTATTCCACTTCATGTGGATTTTCTGTTTGGAATTATTTAGTTTCTTTGAGATATGGAACAATATCATCTTTTTCTTTATCTTTTCCTCATTTTCAGATTTCCATGGAGTTACTTTTCTATCTGTTGAATTGTGTGGATTGAGTTCATCTAAAGGTTTACCTATATTAAAAAAAAAATGAGAATTAATTACAACAACAAGGGAGATCTATAGGAATTAGTAATGGGGATGTGAAAACAAAATGGAGAATGTTATTCACATGAATGCCTGTTTTAGTATGTTCTTACATTTGTTTTTTTATATGTATATCTTGTTTAAAATAATTGAGGATATTTTAGTAAACTTAGCAGTACTGTACAGTACAGTCAAACCAAACAATAAAGATGTTATTTAACAACAACAAATGATACAGTCTATCCAAACGTTGTATCCAGCAAAACGATACAATACAGTACAGTACAATACAATACAATACAATACAATACAATATAAAACGATGGGGAACAATGATCCAAACACAGTGTAACTTAACTGAATGGAGTATTATTTTTTATTTGGTTGTTTATTTTTTTTTTTTAAATAATCAAATACTATTTGCTAGAACAGTTTGATAGGGTCAATTTAACTCAAACTTAAGATGGATTAATTTGAAGTATGCTGAAATTGACATATCATATGTTGAACGAGTTGCACTAAAATTGACATATCACATGTTGAACGAATTACAATTAGACTAAATTTGACGCAGGCTGAGAAAACCTAACACTGGAAAATCCAGCGCATCCTTCCACCGCGTGGGCATATTCTCGCACATTTACTTATTTTTACAGTTATATTTACTTTTTATTTTAAAAAGCTTTCTATTTCTATTGCATGCCTCGTATTTTTTCCTTCACTCTATTCATCTATTGCATGCATCGTTGCAAAGTTTCAAAGTAAAGGACGGCCAAATACAATTTAAAACATAGAGAAAATAAAGTGGGGATTCCCAAATCTTCTCTATTAGGAATTCCTAGAGCAGCTCCACGTGAATTCTCACCCTTTTGATACTCTCAAGGTACACTTTAACAAAACCATTTATTAAATATTGCATGTTGTTCCTCTTCTTATTCCTATTTATATTTTAAAAATAAAAAGCTACATCTATTTTCTACTATTGCTATGTTGTAATATGCTTATTCGCACTTTTGCTTTAAACAAAAGCTAAATTTATTTTATTTCTATTGCCATCTTTTCTTTTTCTTATTCGCACTTAATTACACTTAAACGTAACTACCTAATTATTATTCCAAATAACAATCGGTAGCTATTTTCTATTGCTATGCATGTTGTCTTTTTGCCTATTAATTCGTTTATTACACTTCAAACAAAGTTACGTCCATTTTCTATTGCCATGCATGTCGTTTTCTGCTTTTAATTCCCACTTAGAGCCCGTTTGTCAAGATGTCAAAAATTGCTTATTTTGAAAAATACTTTTTTCATAAGTGCTTTATCCAAAAGTATTTTTGAAAAAAAACACTTATGAAAAAAAACAGTTTGTGTTTGGCCAATTCATTTAAGAAGTACTTTTTGCAACACTTGGTAAACAAATTGTGTTTGGCCGATCTTTCTAAAAGTATTTTTAAGTGTCAAATTACCAAAAATGATAGTATCAAAGTCTTATAATTATTTTAAAGAGAAAAATAAACTTTAATATTTATTGTAATTGACTTTTATTATTTTTTGTTTTATTTAATTAAAAATTAAAATATAAAGTAGATACACATATTAAAAGTTTAAATCAATATAACATATATTGTTATACCAAATCATATAATATTATCAAGTATAATTACTTATTGTTTACATGACGATTTGAATAATCAAAATACATCATTCAGTATAAATTAGAAGTCTGTTCCACCAATTACTATATATTGGTAATCCACCATGAAATAATAAGTAAAGTCGCTCACATATGATAACATTTCTCGATAATTTCATCTCTAATTCTATCACGCGACGCCTTCATATTAGCAGAAGACTTGCCTTGCATTTCTAAAGGAATATAAGAAGACCAATCTTCTTCCTCAATCTCTAGCTCTCTGCAGTAGTGTCTTCACTTGCATAATAGTTGAATTTCTTATCGGTAGAAGAATGTCGTCAGATGAAATTTTATATAGCTATGGTAGCTGTAACAAGATGATTCTAAGTGTCAAACTTGAAAGATGGCATTGAGAATAAAATATAATAGAAATAGTTTTAAATATATAAAAAATTATTGTTTTCGTAAAAAAATTTAGTTAAGTATGTTTAAATTCAAATTCAAAAAGAGTAACTATTTTTTTAATACTAACAAATAATGCAAAATTTATTTTTTTTTAAATTTAAATTCCAAAAAAATAATTATTACCTAAGCTAACTAACTTTGTCCTAAATTGCCAAGTGGCTTATTGTGAGGCTGCCACTTGGCTTAATGTGGAGGCTTTTTCTTCTTTTAATAATATATAGATTATCCGATGCAATTATAAATTTATTATCTATTTATAGGTAATTTTCACAAATTAGATTTGATAACTATTTTAAAAATTCGGGAATTAATAGCCTTTAAGAGAAGAAATTATAAATGCTTACTTGTAAGAAGAGAATTGATAATCCAAAGAGGGATGTAGATAATTTGCTTTAGGGTGGAAAAAGAAGAAGAAGATTTGGAAAGTTACAAGACATTATACAAAGAAAAAAAATCAAAAACAAGAAAAGTCAATAAAGAATTTGGAAAGTTACAATATGATTCATGTATACGATATCTTTAAATTTAAAAGAATGGTAAAAACTAAAAACAAAAATGAAAAAAAAATCCTTAAATCAATGAGGCATAGTTGGAAAATATAAATTTATGGTAAAGATAGTTTTGTCTTGAATAAATTAATTTTCTACTTCTGCTTCTGCTTCTTGGGAGAAGTTGGGAGAAGTTAGGATTTTCTGCTTCTTCCCAAAAGCAGTAAAACTGCTTCTGCTACTAGCCAATAAATTTTTTTAAAGGGCAGAATAGCCTGGCAGATACTTTTACTTATTCGGGTTTGACATCCCGGTCCCGCTACTCCGCATAGTTTCAATCAGGCACTTGCACTTGTATAAAACATTAATTTTAAATCCCTCTGACCATTGACCAAGCTTACGTGGCCTTTGTTTTGCTGAGTCAAACAAAATAAGTGATTGCACGCTCCTAAAAGCGAGTAACTGTACAAAATTTGATTAGAAAATAATAAAAGAGAAAAATAAAAAAAAGAAAAACAACGCTAGCCATTATCTCGCCGCTCTCTATCCCATCCGCTTCTTACCCCCAAATCCCTAAAGACCGCCATTGAAATTGGCACGGCTCCACAGCCTCTAAGATTAAATTTTGTTTCTCAGCCAGAGCTTTCCAAACACCATTACATTATTTCTCCTCCAATTTTAGCAATCAACTGGAGCTATGACAAAAAATTAGTAGCATAACACATGACAAGACCGAATTGATAGAGCTTAACAGAGCAGCTAGTCAAGGAACAAAGTTGTTTAATTTTGTTTTCTCAAAATAACGGAAGAAGCCGATGAAGACGCCAGAGAATTATGAGACAGTGAAGCTTGAAAATAGCGCTCCAGGCCAAAATTGGGTCGTCATCGACTGCTGAAGACGATGACGAACCTGGATTTTGTTAGTTTTATAAAAAAAAAAATGGCTATAGCTGAAGGGGCCAATAAGAAATTTTGGGTAGGAAATACTGAGTGAAACATTCTTCTCTTTCTTTTTCAATTTTTGGGTGCTGCTTCTTGGGTGTTTTGCTTGAAAGAAAATTTAAGCATAAATTTTTTTTTTAAATTCATTTGTTGTTTGGGTTTTGAAAGGATGACATAAATTTGAAGAGAAGAGGAGAGTAGTGGTGGTTTTGAACTGGTTGCCGGCGATGGTGGCGGCAAGAACACCATGGCTAGTTGAATGGATTGTAGTAATGGAGAAAAATTAGGAAAAAAGAATGAAATGAGTTTAATTGTGTTTTCAGATGGAAAAGGAAGGGTGGCGGTGAGTTGTAGTGGCGGTGGCGGGTGAAAGAGGCAGAGATAAAATGGTGGAGAGAGAGTAGGAAGGTTTGGGTTTTTTTGAGAAGAAAAGGATGGATTTGATATTTTTATTAAAAAGTATTTTTTGTAAAAACAAATAATGACATGGCATAAATTTATCTGAGGTGGATATGATGTGTCATTTATATCAGCGCGAGTGAACAACACACGTATCCGAGGTGTTTAAAATTAATGTTTTAAACAAGTGCAAGTGCCTGATTGAAACTATATAAAGTAAGGGGACCGGGATGTCAAAGCCGAATAAGTAAAGGTGTTTGTCAGGCTATTCTGTTACTTTTAACAAAGCTAACCACTCCATTTCTTATTGCTATATTATCCTTCCTCTGCATGTCCATAAATACACTCCTAATACCAATACCATACTCCACACTCACTAAACTTCAATCTCTAAAATCCTCTCCTTAAATAAAACTTTTATCTCGTTTCACCATTTCTGTTTCTTCCTCTTTGTGCAGACATGTCTGAATCAGTAACTGGAGAGAGATTTCGAATTGGTTACGCTCTTGCACCTAGAAGTCTCAGTAGTTTTATCCAAGATTCTCTCCTCATTCATGCCAAAGAACAAGGCGTTGATCTCATTCCTATCGATCTTGATAAACCATTGGTCGAACAAGGTCCGTTTGATTCTGTCTTTCACAAACTCTACGACTCTGAATGGAAGAAACAGTTAGAAGAATTCTCCCTCAAAAACCCAACTTCCATAATCGTCGACCCGATTGAATCCATTGAGAAGTTACACAATCGAGTTTCCATGCTCGACGTAGTCAGTCAATTGAAAATGGAGAATCTTGGTATACCCCTACAAGCTTTCGTTAATTCAAACGATTCTGAATCCCTACTAGACGTTGTCACTCGTGAAGGGTTGAAGTTTCCCATAATTGCAAAAGCGATGCTCGCAAATGCAACAGCTGACGCTCATCAGATGTATTTAGTCTTAAACAAAGACGGATTAAACGGAATTAAACCACCAATTGTGTTACAGGAATTCGTGAACCACGGGGGAGTTATTTTTAAGGTTTACGTAGCAGGTGATCACGTGAAATGTGTTAAAAGGAAGTCGTTGCCTGATATAACAGAGGAGAAAATGGAAAATTCAGAGAGTTTAATTCCTTTTTCTATGATATCTTATTTTGCTGATCAAGAACACAATGATGAGAGTGTTACAAAAATGATGGAAGCGGCTGAGATGCCTCCTATGGGGTTCATAAATGAAGTTTCTAATCAGCTGAGGACTGATATGAATCTGCATCTATTTAACTATGATATGATAAGAGATAATAGAGTTGGAAATCGATATCTTATTATTGATATTAATTACTTTCCTGGTTATGCTAAAGTGCCTGAATATGAAACTATGTTGACTCCTTGTTTTTTTGATCTTGCACAAGAGAAGCGAAGAAGAGAGACTGGTAATTTCGAGAAGGAGAATAAGATTCATGAGGCAGATTCTAATGGTCAGAATAAGACTCATGAGACAGATTCTAATAATGGTCACAATATCTCCTAGTTGTTCTACATATTTGGTCAATAATTTAGAATAAAGTACCGATTGAGATATAGGGCTTTTACTGTTTTTATTTCATTATATTGGACTTGCATGTAATGTATGGTGGGCAAATATGTGGATTGAAGAGCCTAATTTCAATAAAATTGCTTGAGAATGAGTTGGTGGAGGATTAGTTGTTTTGTGTGGTACTTTATCACGAAAAATTAGCCTAATTAATAGCCACTCATCTAATCGCTTAAACTAAAAATAGTTGACAGATACAATAGGTGTATAATTAGTTCATAATCTATGTACTAAGAAAAATAAACAATGAATTGGGCTGGCTAATTGTATAAAGATCCCATTTAATGGAATTTCTTGTTTTACAGACCCTATGTTAACTAAAATTAAACTCTGAATCACAGAATTAATGCGATTGCATCTTTGTGTCACGACCCGGATTTCCCACCATCGAGAGCCGTGATGGCGCCTACTAACGCAGCTAGGCAAGCCAAACCTTTTAAACATTCCCTGATTTCACCTCAACAAGAACAATATAAAAATAACGAGTCATTTAAATTAAAGCGGAAGTCATTAAAACATAGATAACTGAAAACCCAAAATGCGGAAGTTTAGCATTTCTCTACCCAAGACTGATATCGCTATCTCACGAACTACTAAAGAGTGCTACAAACAAGTCAGAATAGAAATACATAAGTGTCTGTCTCGGTACAATGAAAACAAACTGAAAACATAGAAAGGGACTCCGGCCTGCGAACGCCAGCTAGGCTACCTCGTAAGTCCCTGGACTGAAGTCAGCCCCCGATCAATATCCTACTGCTGTGGTCCAAAAGCTACTCCGGTACCGTGATCTGTGCAAGAGCACAGAAGTGTAGCATCAGCACAACCGACCCCATGTGCTAGTAAGTGCCTGGCCTAACCCCGGCGAAGTAGTGACGAGGCTAGACAGGACTACCAAACCAACCTGTGCAGTTCAATACATATATATGCAATAAAAGGAAAGAATACAGAAATTAAACAATTAGGAGGGAGGGGAGCATACTATGGGGGAAGTACAGTCCGGATATAAAGTCAGCAATTTAAGCAAGAAATCGTGCAATAACAATAATTAATGAGAGCAGGAAAATTTAACAGTTGCACGGCATCAACCTTCGTGCTTTTACTCTCATCCTCACCAAAAGTAATCAAGTAAAGTGCACGACATCAACTTCGTGCTTTCCCTCTCATACTCTCAAATCATGACACGGAATGACCCTTCGTGCAAATATAATCAAAACATGGCACGGAATGACCCTTCGTGCAAATATAATCAAAACATGGCACAGAATGACCCTTCGTGCAAATATAATCAAAGCATGGCACGGAATGACCCTTCGTGCATTATCACTCTTCCTCACCCAAACAGTAATCACAACCAAATGGGGCGAGGGGATAAACAAATAATAAGAAATGTCCCGGCAAGGGAATTACACAATTAACAGCTAAATCCCGGCAAGGGAGTAACAACAATACTTTAACATCCCGGCAAGGGAGATAATCAATATACTCAAACCATCCCGGCAAGGGATTAATCATATTTCCTTCTATTTCCTTCATTTCTTACCCAATACTCTTTTATTGTTCGAGCCAACGCTCCAAAGGATTTACAATTCACAATTCAATGCTCATACTCTTCACATTACATAGGATTTATCAATTAACACGGAAGAGTCCCAACAATATCAGAACAAGTACAAACAAGGACCCACGGTCATGCTAGACACCGGTGTATAGATACTCGTCACCATGCCTATACAGCGTACTCGATTCATTTAGCAATTAGCAAATAATAACACTCTAATCCTATTCTCTCAAGCCAAAGTTAGATCAAACACTTACCTCGGTCCAAAGAATAGCAATCAATCCTCAAATACCGCCTTTCCTCTACAATCCGACTCCGAAACAATGATATCTAGGCATAATTAATTCAATAATATCAATAAAGACTCAATGGCAAATCTGGCCTGCAACAGCTGAAGAAAACCTACTATATTTCTAAGTGCAAAACCACCCCGAACCACCTCCAGATCACTCCCGAGCCCTTGGGGCTCCTAACCTATCACACACGCTAATCCAACAACATCCTACGAACTTAACCGAGTGATCAAATCGCTAAAATAACATCATAAACGAGGAATCAAACCACAAAATCATCATTTTTCATTCTAACATCATAAACTTCAAATTTTAGATGTTTAGGTCCGAAACACGTCATATGACGTCCTATTTCAACCAAATTTCACAGAAAAGCACTTAACCCATATATAAGACTTGTCCCGGGCGTCGGAACAAAAATACGAGCCCGATACCACAGTCTTTTAATTAATTTTTATTTCTATTTTCCTTAATAATTCCAGAAAAATAATTTCACAGAAAAATTCTTTTCCTCGGGTGCTAGACCTCGGATTTCGACTCCGGGCACATGCCCGAGTCCCATATTTTTCTACGGACCCTCCGGGACCGTCAATTCACGGGTCCGGGTCCGGATCCGTTTACCAAAAATGTTGACCGAAGTCAACTTTAATCATTTTAAAGCCACATTTTGAAATTTCTCATAGAGTTTAACATATAATCTTTCCGGCTACGCGCCCGGACTGTGCATGCAAATCAAGGCAACTAAAGGTGAACTTTTCAAGGCTTCGGAAGCACAGAAAAAGAGAAATCCGGTGATGACCCTTTGGGTCGTCACAGTTAGTAAGTGCATATAATTGAAAATTTTATTAATTCTCGAATAACAAAGATTAAAATGAAAAAAAAAATAGATTATGTGTACACTTACTTATGGCATCACTGCGTAACTTCTTGACTTGTTAAGCTCATACTTTATTCAATGTATATTAGGTTCTTTATTATTGTAAATAAGAATTTAGCATAATTTATTATATTTAAGCACTTATTTTAAAATAAGTACTCATATAGAAGACTTTAATATGGTACTTAATTATNTGCGCGGTAGAAGAGGAAGCACGTGTTCTCGCCATCTGCGAAAGAACAGAGTAGAAGGACAATCAGTATTTGAGAAACAGAATCGCACGACAAGAAAGAACAAAAGTTAAATTTTTCCTAACTCCGTAGCCTCTGGGGGATAAATACAGACGTCTCCGTACCGATCCCTCAGACTCTACCAAGTTTGTCTGTGAGTAGCGAGACCTATGTAACCTAGAGCTCTGATACCAACTTGTCACGACCCGGATTTCCCACCATCGGGAGTCGTGATGGCGCCTACTATCGGAGCTAGGCAAGCCAAACTTTTAAACATTCCCTGATTTCACCTCAACAAGAACAATATAAAAATAACGAGTCATTTAAATTAAAGCGGAAGTCTTTAAAACATAGATAACTGAAAACCCAAAATGCGGAAGTTTAGCATTTCTCTACCCAAGACTGGTATCGCTATCTCACGAACTACTAAAGAGTGCTACAAACAAGTCTGAATAGAAATACATAAGTGTCTGTCTCGGTACAATGAAAACAAACTGAAAACATAGAAAGGGACTCCGGCCTGCGAACGCCAGCTAGGCTACCTCGTAAGTCCCTGGACTGAAGTCAGCTCCCGATCAATATCCTACTGCTGTGGTCCAAAAGCTGCTCCGGTACCATGATCTGTGCAAAGAGCACAGAAGTGTAGCATCAGCACAACCGACCCCATGTGCTGGTAAGTGCCTGGCCTAACCCCGGCGAAGTAGTGACGAGGCTAGACAGGACTACCAAACCAACCTGTGCAGTTCAATACATATATATGCAATAAAAGGAAAGCATACAGAAATTAAACAGTTAGGAGAGAGGGGAGCATACTATGGGGGAAGTACAGTCCGGATATAAAGTCAGCAATTTAAGCAAGAAACCGTGCAATAACAATAATTAATGAGAGCAGGAAAATTTAACAGTTGCACGACATCAACCTTCGTGCTTTTACTCTCATCCTCACCAAAAGTAATCAAGTAAAGTGCACGGCATCAACCTTCGTGCTTTCCCTCTCATACTCTCAAATCATGGCACGGAATGACCCTTCGTGCAAATATAATCAAAACATGGCACGGAATGACCCTTCGTGCAAATATAATCAATACATGGCACAGAATGACCCTTCGTGCAAATATAATCAAAACATGACACAGAATGACCCTTCGTGCAAATATAATCAAAGCATGGGACGGAATGACCCTTCGTGCATTATCACTCTTCCTCACCCAAACAGTAATCACAACCAAACGGGGCGAGGGGATAAACAAATAATAAGAAATGTCCCGGCAAGGGAATTACACAATTAACAGCTAAATCCCGGCAAGGGAGCAACATCAATACTTTCACATCCCGGCAAGGGAGATAATCAATATACTCAAACCATCTCGGCGAGGGATTAATCATATTTCCTTCTATTTCCTTCATTTCTTACCCAATAATCTTTTATTGTTCGAGCCAACGCTCCAAAGGATTTGTAGTTCACAATTCAATGCTCATACTCTTCACATTGTATAGTATTTATCAATTAACATGGAAGAGTCCCTACAATATCAGAACAAGTACAAACAAGGACCCACGGTCATGCTAGACACCGGTGCATAGATACTCGTCACCATGCCTATACACCGTACTCGACTCATTTAGCAATTAGCAAATAATAACACTCTAATCGTATTCTCTCAAGCCAAAGTTAGATCAAACACTTACCTCGGTCCAAAGAATAGCAATCAATCCTCAAATACCGCCTTTCCTCTACAATCCGACTCCGAAATAATGATATCTAGGCATAATTAATTCAATAATATCAATAAAGACTCAATGGCAACATCCCATAGCCTAGATATGAATTTCCTAGCATTCTTCCATAAATACCAAAATTCGACACCGGGCCCACATGGTCCAAACACGAGGCTCGGACCAAAACCTAGTCACCCATAACCCCACGAGTTCAAATATGCAATTTGTTTTAAGATTCGACCCCAAATTGAGGTTGAATCACCCAAAATTCTCAAAACACTAACTCTACCCAAAACCCCTAATTTCTACTTTGATTTCATGTTTTTAGGCCTAGGAATTCACTAATTAATGAAGAAAAACGAAGGAATTAGGTGGGGAATTACTTATCCAAGTGACCTTGAAGAAGGGAGGCTTCAATGGGGTCCT